ACCCCGGTGGCCGTAAAGGACGTCAGATTCAATCTCGTCAGATTTCTCCACTGACGCTTGATGTATCAATTTTTAAGTAGCTGGCCTCAACTAACGCCTGGGTAGCCTACACACACACACACACACACACACACACTCAAGCACGCACGCACGCACACAAACAAGCAGCTCTGTGCTCCAGGAGCTGTGGCACTCGAGGGGTACTAGAAGGGTTCCATCTTGAAAGCCTGTTGCCATGGTGACCATTATAGAGCTCATCTCCCCTGGGCCAACGAGCTTTACACAACTTCCCTCTCAAAAGGACACACACATGCATACACACACACTCACTCACACACACACACACACACACACACACACACACACACACACACACACACACACACCCTTGCCATACCCTCACCCACCCGTCGACAAACATAAACACACACACAAAGAGTTCTCTCCTCTTTCTGCCCTTTATGGTAAAGCCGGCAGGGATCCAATGTTTGACTTGAACCAAGTGCAGCAGAAAGCAAGGGAACGGAGTTGAACTAGCGAGAGCATTTGAAGGAGAAGTGGAGGAGAGGAGGAAGCTCACAGCTAGGCAGAGGAGGAAGTGTTTGTTTCAGAAAAGTGCAGCTGATGTGATTTTGCGTACACACACAGAGCCGCCTGCTGGAATGTAATTAGAGTGTAATGACTACAATTTTCAGATGTCCACGTTTGTGTTTCCGTGTGTGTGTGTGTGTGTGTGTTCGCCTGTGTGTGAATCTGTACAGGCGCCCTTTCAAACGTCAACCGAACACATTTCCTGAACTCTTCCAGAGGAGTCGTCAGCTTCTGACATTCACACGAGAAACTCCATAAATGACGTAACCATTCGCACACATATTAAAGTCACACGCACGCAGCTCATCACAGAATTAACATAGATTTAACAACAACATTGTGCTTTTGGTGAGTATGCCGATCTGGAATTTAGCAACAGCCTTGTGGATCGCAGTGACTTGGCTCCATACTTAAACATGACCCCTTAACACTGTATTTAAATTAACTGTAGAGGCTGCATGTGTAAAAGTACCTTGTGCCTGTGCCTGCGCGTGTGTGTGTGTGTAAGGAAGAGACTCTCTACTCCTCAGAGAGCAGTTAATTTTGGACCCTGCTCTGCGGAGGTTCTAATAGATCACATTCATGTAATAGAATAAATTTGAACTGAGGACAGCGAGTGAGAAAGAAAAGTGCGTCGACTAGAATCTGTCATCGACAGGAAGTTAGAAAAGTCTGACCGCTATTTTGATCATCATCAATCTCATCATTTTTTCAAGCAAAAACTTTTTCTTGTTTTATGTCACTGTTTTATGTTTATGGGTTTTGCAGTGATGGTTGACTGAAACATGCAAAAGCAGCACTAACTGTGCGAGGCGATGAATTAAGGGTTAGAAGGCTGATAAGCTCTGTAGAGCTGAGAGGAGCTCCAAAGTTGGGTGAGAATTCTCTGTGCATTCTTCAGTACGAACAACCCCTTACATAACACACAGTCATTTGACCCAAACGTATTGATTAGTACAGCTTTAAGCACATGTATTTGTGGAGTGAGAAACAGTAATGGACTAATTCAATTATTTTAGACATTTCAAAATCAGTGGGAGAAAATAATCAGAGGATGCGATCCTAAAAAACAGACTAGAAATAGAATAGAAGAGAACTCAATCAGCTCAGAGTGTACAGTGTTGTCCCAGAGGAGACGGTTGGGCTGTTCCCTTCTCAATCAGTGCGTGGTGACTGAGGGTGTGTCTTGAGTGGCAGTACTATATCATATCTAAGAGCTATCGATTGGCATAAATACACTGAGTCTCTCTGGTGACCGGATGAATATTTAATAAGACACTGGATCTGAGGCCACTCTTTGTCTTTAGGAGAAACACATACACACATCTCTCTCACACACACACACACACACACACACCCTACGTATATACGGCGTTGTAAACTGTTACTTCGTGGATGATGCAAATTCGGAGTTAGCTCATAGTTCGACGACACAGCTTTTGTGACTAAACTTTTACTCTCCTGTGTGTCTGCTTTGTGTGCAAGTCTGTGTTTACGGTGAGCACTGTCTTACTTCCTCAGCCTTCTTGTCCCTTTTTCATACCGATGGTAAATCATTAATCATAAGGGAACCAAGTCAAGTAACACATTTCCCATGGGGCAGACACTGGGAGTAGCTCGAGGAAAAAAAAAAAAAAAAAAAGAAGAAAAGTGGAGGAGAGAAAGAGAGAGAGAAGGAAAAGGGGGACTTTGAGAGAGAAACTGGAGTGAGAACGAGGTGGTAAAGCAGAGTAGGAAACAGCAGATCAAGAGAGGGAAGCTCCACTCGAAGCAGCCAAGTCCCTGTTCTTGCACAAAGTTTTTGATCAGGCAGTTGTTCGGACGCCAGGCCTGGCATGGGGCGCCCTGTCTGTCCTCTAGCGCCGGGGTCCTTTGTGCCTCTGTGGCTGGCCAGCGCCCGGAGCCAGGACTCACCGGATGAAACGTCCCCAGAGAAAAGCTGCTTTCCCAACCTGCTCGTACAACCCAGCCAACAGGAACACACACACGCACGCACACACACACACAGACACACACACGCACGCACACGGTCACCAGCGCAGCACATAGGCACCCATTACCTTGGAAGTTGACAGCAAGGAGGAAAGAGAGCAGAAACCCTTTGAGAATTATCACTCCCTTTCTTTTTCTTTCTTTCCTTCCTTTCTTTCCCTCTCTTTTACACACACACACACACACACACACACACCTTCTCCAGTGTTCTCTGGGGTCTGTTGGGGATTGTGCTAGTGGACTTTGCTCCCCTATGATGAATGATTTGCCTAAAAATACTGTCTGTATGTGAGCGAGTGAGCTCAGCGTCCAGGTGGAAGAACTTACCTCCACACTGAGAAACACACTACTTTCAGGCCACGTTTCCATCCCTCTATCCGCAGGTTAACCACGGCGTCGGAAATATGTGTGTCTCTGTGTACTTACGTGTGTGTGTGTGTGTGTGTGTGTGTGTGTTAGCGTGATAATTTACAACCTTACTGGCACGAGTGACGTGTAGCTTGATTAAATCCGTGACCTTCAACACCAGCACAAGCAATCAGCAAGTGAACACACACATTCACTCACTCACTCACTCACTCACACACACACACACACCGCATACTTAACACCTTCTCGCACACAAGCGCTCAGCATACGAACATGCAATCAGCACTTGGCGGATTGTATCGCATCATTGATCCAACCTATTCACACATAGACACACACACACACATGCACGCACACACACACACACACACCGTATACTTAACACCTTCTCGCACACAAGCGCTCCGCATACGAACATGCAATCAGCACTTGGCGGATTGTATCTCATCATTGATCCATCCTATTCTCACATAGACACACACACACACATGCACGCACACACACACACACAAAAACACAAACACAAACACACACGGGGCATGTATCGAATAGCATTTGAGACACCCTCATTTTCCTTACATGGGGTTTTTGTGCGCTGCAATACGATTTACCACCGTGGCAGAAAAGGCTCGTGTGGATGGGAATACCAGGCCTATGAATGTATAAATAAATACATGCGTAATCTATATTCAGATTACCAAAGGGAAAGTCAGGAATTCCATTTTAGTGCCGAGGATGCAAAAGGGAAATCATTCAACTCCCCGGTCTATTTCAGCATGCTGCTGCTTTTGAGCGGTAACACAGTTTTCCCTCCCCAGTTTTATGACTCCACATAATGACTAATATGCAGCCAATGTAACAGCCATTGCAATAGTCATATTGTGTTATTGTGACTATTGCTGTGACTGTGGCTGTGTGTATTTTTTTTTTCCCCCCAGTTGCCTGAAGATCTAGCGCCATAACAGGAACGGCAGTTGATCTCCTGTTGCACTATGTCATCGTACTGTACAACCCTGTGGTCGTATGATGTAAAAGGATCTCAATTAGACCCAACGTCACAACAGATTAAATCAAACTTTGTTTTCTTGTTCTTTGCCATGGGTGCTGCATGGCACATTGTGTGACCTATCAATCTGTGGTGCACCTCTTGGTGCATAGAACTGCTTGTGTCATTTTGTATTACTGTACATTTTCTACCTTTTTGAGTCTCTGTTCTTCCTTACTCCCGTACTCTTGTGGTTCGCCTTTATTTTCACACAAGCTTAAAGGAGAAATCTGATTTATTACAACTTTGGCCATCCTCTCCCTCCCCACTTATCAGGCTAGTTTCTGTGATTTGAAAACACACTTCAACAAAATCAGATGTGGAAAGAAGCACAACCATTCAGAGGGTCAAATAAAATAATGAACAGGCCAACAAGCTACCTAGTTTGGAAGAAAAACAATAGTTAACCCTGGTAAAATCTCTGTAATAACCGCACATTAGTAGCTATGGTGGGTAGAAGCTGAACAAGAAAACCATTCGCACTCTTCTAGGCAAGTCTGGCAAACCCCAGGCGTTTGTATAAACCCTCTTTAATCATCTGATTACTCGTGTTTCTTCTCTCTTTTCAGCAATGTTGCTGGATTCCCAGTAATCAGCAATTGCTTTGGCAAGTGTGATGTTACAGTAACCGACAGAAATGACGGCTATGAAACTATGAAAATAAGAACCGACTTCTAATAACCCAGAATTATCCCTACAAGCATTTGCAGCCGAGCAGGGATATCTGGCACGACTTCACTACTGTCCTTCCAAGGTGTATGGAGAGGGAAAATAAAAAAAGGGTCAAAACACCAGCAATAAAGAAAAACTTTACTCTTAAACCATGGCGTTCTAGCTTGTGGCCTTACAGTTTTGACCGCTGAAAGCATTTGCAGCTCCTCGCTCTTTTTCAAAAAACTTTAAAAAGTCATTGAGGTCTTTAAGGTTGATGTTTATCGATCGGCATGTGTGGTTGCATTGCGGCACCTTCTAACCCCGTGTGTTTGTCTGTGTCCTTGCTCAGCATGCAGACCTGGCACCTACAAAGCTTCGGCCACGGACGCCTACTGCACCAAATGTCCTCCTCACAGCTCGTCCCCGCAGGAGCAAGCAGTCGAGTGCGTTTGTGAGAAGAGTTTCTACCGAGCTGAGACGGACCCGCGCTCAATGGCCTGCACACGTGAGTGAGACGAACACTGGGATAAACTCAGACACATCGCACGAGCCACGAACACAGTTATAAAGATGGAGGCTAATTGGACACCATGCTGCATACAAATATTTGCATTCGGATGTTTATATTTTCATGTTGTAAAACGGCTTACAGTTACAATGATTGGATTACATTTCATTTTTACGAGTCTGCTGTGTATTCCTGTAAGAATTTATATCACATGGTTGATTTCTGTTCATTTATTTATCATCCATCCATGCATTTTCCTCCTCTTCATTTGCTAGTGGTTTACTCAATACATACGGACGACACACACACACACACACACACACACACACACACACACACACACACACACACATACACGGTTGTTAGTTAGATATCTCAGATGAGAACACTGATATGAGTGATACTGTGGTAGAAAGCTGATGATTCTTATTCTTTCTCTGCCTCACACACACACACACACACACACACAAAGAGCCAGAGGGATCGGACCACATCCTCATGAACAGAGGCGGAGGAGAGTAGAAAGGATTAGGAAGGGAAGACTGAGCGAAAGACAGGGGCAGAGAGGAAATGGATTGAGATAGGCGGAGGGATGTGGGGGTGGGAAAGAACAGTGACATGGCGGGAGAGGGAGACTGAACTAGAAAAATATGGAGGAACACACTCACACACTCACACACTCACACACTCACACTCTCACACATGCACACACATACCCAAACCCATTATCAGGTTATGGTAGATTACACTCATTAATCGTTGTAGCAGGTGAGATGTGACAGGTGTTATCAGCTGGAAATGAGTAACGGTTTGTTCAAATATGTATGGGCACACACGCACACACATGCTCTCCAGACTGGTGAAGAGCACTAAGGAGGATCGAGGGGAGAAAATGAGAAAATAAGGAGAAAAGGTGAAAGAATTAGTCATGGAGAGATATGGAGAATGACACTTAAGACACAAGGCAAAGAATAGAACAGCAGGGGAATTAGTGGACTATCAGAGGCATATAATCTAACTGTCATAAAAGGCCGATCAGTAGAAACGATGATGACGGACAGTTAAATGTGGCCTAGGGAAGTGGGGGGATGGAGAAGAGAAAAAGGCAGAATTACCGGGATAAGTCAGCACACCCTTTCAGCAGATTTATGACGGACAGCCTCAATTATCCCCAGCATGGCCTCCATCCCCTGATGCCCACGCCCAGCTATCCCCCATCACTCCCGCACTTCAGAGAGGCTCGCCACTGGGAGGGCTAATCAGAAAAGTCCCAGGCTCTGCCGGCGGGACCCTTGGGGCTCACTGCTCAGCCAGGGCCTGATGAGATGTCAGGCTGAATGGCCATCTACTGCCAAATTTCCATATGGTTGAGATACCTGTGTCATACCATGCTGTGAGCAACCATAATCAGCGAATAATGACATGGCAAATGAATGTTTGTGGTTTGCTCAAAGTGTCCATTCTGGCAATATTTACTGAGCAGCCGATGAAAAAGCACAGAAAAGGCCCAGATGTAGACATAATTAATTAGTACTTGATTATTATACAAGTAGTTGAACAAGCTGTTTAGAAAAACTACAGCACTGTGTGGAAAATGAAACACATCCGGCTCGTACATTTGAACGGGAGCTCTGTGGTGACACAGCACGGTTGCCAACGCAGAGGGCTGGGAGGGTTGATACCTCTTTGAATTATGTACACACACACACACACACACACACACACACACACACACACACACACACACGCTACTGAATATGATGTGTCATATTGCCTTTTGTCTGGCATCTTTCATTGTGAGTATGCACAATAAAAATATCACATACAGGCATTCACATCGACGAGGGCGAGGGCTGATGATCGAGTTTCCGTATAAAAGAAACAAAGTAGAGTTGAACCTCTCGGGTTTATTTAGAGACAAAATGCTTCTTCAGTCCGAAGTTAAAAATTCTATACATTTTTATGAATATATGTAAAATTAACACGCCTCATCTAAATGTATAATAAAGAGCATTTGAGTGTCGCTCCGTCTCGGCTTCCTGGAAGATGATTACTGACACTTTTTGGACTCTGCCTCTGTGACACACTAATCATTCCAGCTGAAGTTCAGAGCATTATTAACCGCTCTAAATCATAAAATGTACCTGACTCATGAGAAAATGACTTCAGGCACTTTCTATAGATCATTGTCCAGTTACTATTTATTGTCTGCAGTGCAGCCCCAAAGAGTATCAGTTAACTTCACATGGTAAAAGAAAAAACCTCCCTGCAGCCAGCAGTCTACTATTTAACATCATGTGAAATCTTTTTAAAGATGGATTCAAACCTCAGAAGTGTAATATATTGTCATACCGTCACATTTACAATCAGTCGAGCTCTTTTAATCACTGTCCTTTCCAAAACCAATCATTAATTGAGCACGAAGTGTCCGCCCTCTGGCTGGAGTCAGTTTAATTCATTTTTAATTTAATCAATGTGAATTCTGTTCTCAATAGAAGCTTCTATCAATTTGGTGATGAACATGAAGACAATGCACGTTTAGAGAATGTGCATTTGGGGAAAAAAAAACAAAAAAAAACCTCCATCAGTCGAGAGTAATGGAATAAGAAGTGGTGCAATAGACACACTGACTTGTTTGGGCCGTATCATACTTCTCACCAGATGCATGCTGGGATAGCATGGTTTTAGTTGGTACAGTGAGCCATATATAGTAAAATCACTCTTCAAATGAGTGTCTGTCTCGTTTTACGACATTAAAGGTACTATGTGTAGTTTTGACCACTAGTAGCGCTGTGGAGTCGCGCTTTTAAGAGTGAAAAAGAGCCTTTTCTGGCTCCGTAGGGAGCTGCACAAAATCTGAAAAATTGCCTGCAGTAATCACTTGAGAGGGCGTTGGTTGGGTCTGAAACTGAAAAATATCTGGTGCTGTGGAGTTAAAAAGAAATAAGCAGACCTCTGTAGCCCGCTCCTCATCTCTGTTTGAGGTTACCAGCTCAAGGCTACATTAGCTGCTACGAGCAAAACACACCTGAATCTCTGACCAAACTGTCAGTGGTCGAATGGCACTGTGTCCAATAAAAAAGAACACATCTCTGGTTCTGTTGCATCAATTTTGATATTTTTTTTTTCATCTTTCTGTCTATTGTGAGTCTGACAATGTTATAACAGTGAATTAAATAGGTGGCGTATTCTTTTAAATATGTTTATTAGGCCTCAAGAATACACACAATGCCTTTTTTTCTATTTCAAGTGAGAAAAAAATACTTTTTTCAAGTGGAGAGAAATAAATCTATAAATCTATTCCTGTTTCTCACCTCAGGTCCTCCATCTGCCCCAGAGAACCCCATCTCCACAGTGAATGAGACCTGCGTGACCTTGGAGTGGTCGCCACCCAGAGAAACGGGAGGCCGAGGAGACATCACCTACAGCCTCCACTGCAGGAAGTGCTCCGGCGATGGCAGGAAGTGCACACCATGTGGTAGCAGCGTCCATTTTGTCCCCCGGCAGTTTGGTCTGTCCTCAGCTACCGTGTTGGTCACTGACCTGCAGCCAGACTCCAACTACAGCTTCACTATTGAGAGCCAGAATGGAGTGTCAGACTTAAGCCCAACACCTAGAGGAACGGTGGTCATCAATGTCACCACGTCACAGACAGGTGAGAACATACTCACATACCGCGGGTAATGTCACTTCTTTAAAAAAAAAAAAAAAAAAGCACCAAAATCTATGAATTTAAGTATTAAGTCATAATGTGGAAAAAACTGAATTTGTTGACACAGATGGTTCTTTCATGGTATAATCTCTATGTGTGGCGGGGTATTTTCAGATTTAGATTGCAGGAAAAACTTGAGAGGATAGGATTCTGCAGGATTTCAGTGATATCCGCCTTTAAAGGCTGATAAGAAAGAAAAAAATCCTCTGGGGAAGAACATACTTGTCAGCCTGAACTAGGAATTTGCAGAAAAGCAAAGCGTGTATTTTTCAAAATTGTCTCCTGATTGCAGTGTCCTCACTGATAGTATCAGGCTTTTACATGACAACTGTAAAATCACTGCTGTGCTCCATCACTCTGATGCCACAAAATGACACCTCTGCACCTCTCCCTGCGCATATATAATCATATGTGCATCTTTCACAGTGTGGGACTGTGGGAAATTGCATGCAAGGGAAGCGCATATGACAGGGTGGTGATGACTAATAGGCCTTGCGCTACGGATGTGTGTGTGTGTGTATGTAATAACAAGAGGGGGGGAATAGGTGAAAGGGATGTAGGAGGTTGTTAACCTCATTAAGATCCGCACATGTCACACGTGCTACTCTCCACTACGGCGTGTCAGACACACACACATATTTGTACATATACAAGCACATACAAATACACACTTTCAACCCACACAAGCACGTGCCCCAATGTGGGGAGGAAGGATGGAAGTCGCAGGATTTTGGGTTTGCACGTAAATAACACGAGCGGATCACACACACCATACACACACACGTCACACATGTCACACATACGCACATCGTAGACCAATGTAATCACACGTTATAAAACACCTTGTAAACGCGCTCATTAGCGAAATTACATGACACGCATTTTAAATATGGGTCGTCTCATTATAACACAGAAGGTATCAATCTGAACTCTCTCTCTTCCTGCCGCCCCCTCTCTCTCTCTCTCTCTCTCTCTCTCTCTCTCTCGCTCTCTCTCTCTCTCTCTCTCTCTCTCGCTCTCTCTCTCTCTCTCTCTCTCTCTCTCTCACTGATTCTTTTCATGCTCTTATTCGACATCTCGTTGGACTCTCTCTTTGTTCCTCACACTTTCACCTCTCGTTCTTTGTTTTCCTACAGTGAGCGTAGTGTTGAAGGAGAGGCGGAGCAAGGACAGCGTGACTTTGGCCTGGCAGGGTCCGGAGAGACCCAACGGGGCGATAGTGGAGTATGAGGTCATCTACTATGAGAAGGTGAGAGAGATACACATACACACACACACACACACACACACACACACACACACACACACATATTCAAAGAGGCACTCCACTAGGACGTGGGTGATTACCAGACAGGAAACGGGAAAAGATGCCATCAGTTTGGATTATGTTAAGTGTAAACCAGGAGCAAAAAAATCAGGATACCTGCTGCTTAGATTTTTTACAGTGTGTCTTTTGCGAGTCCCACAGTTTTAAAGGAATAGTTTGACATTTTGAGAAATAAACTTATTTGCTCTTCATCAAGATTTAGATGAGAAGATTGACATCACTGTCGCTTCTGTGCGGTGGATATGAAGCGGAGGCCAGAAAACGGTTCGCTCAGCTGCTTGCATGGCTGCATTCAAAGGCAAAATAAGCACCTCTTAAGCTCAATAATTCCATACCAAAACTCGGGTGTACAAACGAAATGTTATGATTTTAAGGTGGGTATACACTGTGTGACTTTAGGCTGTCCCAAACAACAGATAGGGCGATCTTTGGGTAAAACAGTGGTCCTAAATCACACTGTGAGAAAGGTTCAAAGATGGCCGTTGTCACAGTCTCGACAAAATTCTGAGGGTGAGAAATTAAGAGTGACCTATCTCACAATGTGACTACCGCTATGACCTACATTTAGCAACCAACCAACCAATAGGAAGGCTGCATGAAATGACGGCTATTTAGGTTTATGTGTTTTAAAAAATACTCATCTCAAGCTCTCTTTGCAAAACTGGCATCCCACGCTGGATTCTTGCATATTAACTTTTATATTAACTTGTGCTGTAGCCTACAGTTCAGGTTAATCATCGCACAGTCTCTACATCAATCTCGGTGGACAACTTCCATGGCAATTTGTCATTCTTACAATTTGGTTTTTGCCTGGATCAACAAACTGCAATTACGTGTTAATCAGTCAGCTTTAGAGGTGGTGCAGATACATTTTGTTTCTCTTGGACAGAGCCAGGCTAGCCCTTCCAAACATTTTAGCGCAATGTGTTTAATGTGCTTTGCTCCTCTTGTTCTCTTCATCTACATGTCATAGAGGCTCGTAGGATTAAGGGTTTAGCCTCAGGGCGTGTCTTTAATGACTCGTTCATCACAAACATCACTCTCTCCTTCCTTCAACCTCTCTGTCTCTCCCCGTCTCCATTGCCTTCTCCCTCATGTCTCCCCTACTGCTCACACCAAGCCAATTAACCACACATCTGTCGAACAAACCTCGTAAAACACGGCCAAGGTGATGAAATTAAGCCTGAGTGTGTGTGTGTGTGTGTGTGTGTGTGTGAGTGTGTGTGTGTGTTAGCAGGCATTAGCAGTAAAATAGTGTTATTCCATGTTGTAGAGTGTCTTCCATTAGGTAGAGTATCAGCCTCTCTGCAGGGAATCAGTTTACTGACAGACACACTTATTCTTTATTCATCCTTCTACACACACATTTGTAAGTGCGCGCACACACACACACACACACACACACACACACACACACACACACACACACATCTACAAGGTAGTCAAGGAGCGAAGCGTAGCAGGACTTGAGTAACTGCATATTGCCCCCAAGTGTAGAGAGGATAAGATTTGGGACTTGACAGATGCTCATGTATAAATGCGACCAAATGGTCCAGTGATGAACAAATGAAAACTTAGCGAGGTGTATTTGGCCCCTGGAGGAGACATTTAAATTCAACAATTTGAGGTTTCTATTATTTTCAGACTTTTTTTTTTCCCCGTCTCTCTCGATATCACAGTCAATTCCTCTTTATATAACCCTTCAGAGTGTATCTATATTCTCGGCCCTTTTCTTATCCACAATCGTTTTACTTCTCTGACATTTAATATTATCGACTGAGCTTAGTATTTAATACTCGCCTCCTCTCACCCCTCCCTCCACTTCAGAACCAGCGGGAGCAGAACTACACAGTTTTGAAGACTCGCTCCAACATGATGACCGTGGATGGGCTGAAACCAGGGACCACCTACGTGTTCAGGGTCAGGGCTCGAACCGACGGCGGCTATGGGAGCTATGGTGGAGAGATCGAACTGGAAACCAGCCATGAAGGTAAAGAGATTATTAATAAATGTTTGTTTTTGTAAATAATTCCAGTTTCCTTTTTTCTAGTTTACATCTGTTTTTCCCTGTGGTTGTCAGCTGAAGACTGGAATAGCAGGCAGTGGCTGCACTGAAAAGAGTTACAAACCAGTCTATAGTGTTAACACAAGAAATCCATATCCGTGGCAAATGGTGCAGGTGAACAAGAAACACAAAGATTAACAGCAGAGCAAAGAGTACCACAATTCTATATCAAGCGCAGTAAGAGCCTGATTTGCTCTCCTGCAGTTTAGATCAATCCACTGGATGGTTAAAAAATAGCTCACTTTTCATTCAAACGGCTTTTTCAATTCCGTTGTCAGACAAAGAAACCTTGGCAGCCTCACAGGCTGTCTATGCATCTGAACGCTGAAAAGCATCCTAGAATACATATCAGGTGAAAGGAGACAACCCAATTTCGCAACAAAGGAAAAACTTGGTTTGCCGGATTGTGAGCTCCGACCACAGGAGCAAAATCTAAAGGGCAGGAGAAGTTTACAGCAGTCATAAATCATGATAACAGCGATGAATACAAAACACCTGGCATCCTCTGCTATTTTGTTGGCATTTGGTGAATTAATTTGCCTGGACAGCTTACTACCTGGATGACTCATATTTGAAGACAGGTTTTATTCTGCCCTCCTGAAACTATACTGTAACAGCAGTGATCTGTGCAGAGCAGCATTTGTCTTCTTTTTTTTTTTTTTTTTTTTTTTTTTTTTTCTAGCTGAAAGGAGACTGGCCACTTAAATGTAGAAATGAAAGAGGAAAAGGAGACACCAAAGAGAAATCTATGCTGGGGTTTGATCCAGGCCAGTGGGGATACACAGCTCTGGGCAAACCGTGTTGTGTCTGTGCTATGATGTTTTCAAGTTCTCTGTCACTCGTCCTTTTCTCCTTTGTTTGCTGTCATCCACTTTCATTATCTCTTCATTATGTGCTCTGGGATTTTCTGCTTTAGAGGCCTCGTAATGTGCTCCTCAAAGTGAGCATTGATCCCCAGACGGGCAAAGCAGAGGGGGATAAATCAGTTAATGTATAGCTCTGCACTAAAGATTGTATATGTGGCGTTCAACAGGCACACATTAGCCTACTAATCCTTTAATAATCAATAAAAGGAATTCAAAGCTGGGTTTCTATTCCTGTCCTGCAGCAAATATCTGGCATGTGACTGTGACCTGCAACTTACTGTGTGGAACTCAGGTTGGGTATCACTGATATATGTAGAGCTTGGTCACACGGGAGGTTCACGGTCAAGTTCAGTCCTGTAAAATCTGCCAGACTCAGCTGACCCCATAGCAATCATATCAAGGTTATCTAATCAGATCAATTCTATTGATTGTTAAAGAAGGCTGTGTATGTGTGTGCCAGTAAATGTAATAGGCGATCAATGCTTATCTGTGCCTGCCTAGAGGCATTAATTTGCCTCCAACACACACACACACACACACGGGCATTCATGTATACATACACACACAGACACGCGTATCCGCTCATGCTTAGCTAAGCCAGATAAATGGGGTATTTGTTTTGAGTAATGGCTCGATAGGTGTGGCGTAAAAATCGATGCCTCTTTGCAGAAAGTTCTCGGCGGTAGCCTTGTTATGTGCAATGTTAACATATCCATTTGGACAGCGCGGCCGAATGGGAATGGTTTTCACGTCCACTCTCATACCCTCATAGGCAATGCAGAGAGGGAGAGCGCTTTTCATCAAGGACCTTACTTACTATTCCACCCACCTCCCTCTCTCTCTTTTACCCGTTTGCCGCTCTCTCTTTTTCCCTCTCCTTCAACCTCTGTCTTTTATCTCCTTTTCTATTGCTATCATATTTCATTCTCTCTCCCTCTTTCCCCCGCCGCATTCACCATCTCTCTTGCTGTCTTTTTTTTTTCTTTTTTTTTGAACTCCCAGCCTCCCTAAGTCTTTTCATCCCTAACTTTACTCCGGCGGAAAACATCCTCAGCTTCATTTCATCCTCGTTTACGCTTGTTTTACTAATCCACTGTGTTCTCTCCGTCTCCTGTATAGATGTTTTGGCGATCGGGGACCCTAACCAGTCCACCATCCTGGCTGTGTCTATCGCTGGGGGAATCGTTCTCCTAATCTTCCTGGTGACTTGCTTCATTGTCAGCGGCAGGTAGGGGCAAAAGTCAAGAGACTCTGAGGTCCTCTGTACACGACTGAGCTGCACCATGAGATCAGGCAGAGAGCGCAGGGCAGGAGTAAAGTGCAGCGGAGGTTTATGTCACTTAGTGGCAGGCAGCCGGAAAGTGCCGGGGAAATCTGAAAGAACCAACTCTAACAAAGTGTTTTTGAACTATGTATGTGACGCATGAAACACAGAAGAAGGTATTAGCAGTTATCCTGCCAACCTTCACATGATCGCAATATGAGTATGAGTCAGTCCTACCCATGCCCATACCAAAAAATGCTCCCTCACACACCAGATCCACGGATGAAAACAGTCCCAGACAAATTCACTACTACACCTGTTTGAGTAGTGTTTGTTCAAAACTACAGTGCCCACCTGTTTTAGGAATTTGCTTAGCATTCTTTAAAAAACAAAATCCATATCTACAGTCTGTTTGTACAGGTTTAGGTCTACAGTAGGAGGGAATGGGCTTGGAGCTGAGAGTTATACAGACAGGCTGGGGAAGTGGAAAGTATTGAAGACTCACCAACACACGATCAGGTGGTACATTTTATATACAATCATTATAATGTAATCATTATAAGGTCACCGACAACAAAGATTCAAGTTGAAACAGACTGACCTACGAGCGCACCAAGCAAAGTCTGAGGTAGCATTGCCTCAAGGTCTTCACTCAAAACAATAGCTCACATATGTGAATCTGCCGATAATCACATGTACATGGCCTGACAGGTGAAGCAGAAGTGTATTCACTTACACACAATGGTTAACACACACATTCATACATGAGCTGGAGATCTCCCACTCGGCCTCTCTTCATAGCTCTCTGCCTCTCTCTGGGGGATTACATGTGGGCGTGCCAAAGCAGGGCCTCCAACTTTGACATTTACTGTATACTGCTGCCAGAGCCCAACTAAAGGGCGTGTTATCCTATATGGGAAGAGCATGGACTCTCTATGATCACGCTCTTTGAAGGTTAGGCTGCCGTTCGAGCACTGTCTCGAAGAAGGCCAAAGAGGCGAAGGGAGATGAGAGGGAGAAAGGAAAATAAAAGAACGCTGATTGGTAAGAGGTGAGAAGATGAAAGGATTGGAGTGAGGAGGGAGCTCTTCAGAAGGAGAAGAAAGGGATGACGGCGAGAGAGAGAGAGGAGAGGAGAAAAAGGGGACGACAGGCATCTGTGATTTACTGTGCCTGTAAATAAATGTTTATCCTCTATGAGCTCCGACTAGATTAGCAACATGTTAGGAGCTACACACACACATCCACAAGCACACACTAATGCACACACACTAAAAACATTAGTATTGATTGAGGTGATTGCTGATCAGGCTGAGTGCTCTATTCACTATTGACTAAGAGGGATGTAATCAGTGGTGACTGTCCTGTGTGGTGCGCGCTCACACACACACACACACACACGCACGCGCGCACACGCACGCACGCACGCACACGCATGCACGGCTCATGAACAGAAACACATCAACGTTTTTGTTTTTTTTTAATCAGAGGGGAATTGTGAGGTACGTGTAAGAGGCTAAACAACCTGTTAAACATAGTGTGTTATGAACTCACATGATGACACAAACACACTCACACTCAACTTATCAGCTTTCACAGGCGGAGGAGGTGTTAACTAGGTGAGGGGTCGATGCACTGCCATCAATTTCAGGTCTTTCTCTTTCCTCTTTCCCTCCCTCTGTTTCTATCTGTCTTTCTTCCATTTAGAGCAGGGGTCCCCAAACTACGGCCCGCGGGCCACATCCGGCCCGCCAAAGCAATTGGAGTGGCCCACTTAACGATCCCAGACAATCCCTCTAAACATCAACCAATTTTTATTAAATTGCATTTTCCTATCATAACATCATAACATATCCGTACTTAAAGGTTGGCATTCTAATTAAAATTGACCATAGTTATGAGCTATTTATAGTTAATAGTGGCTCATCTTCACCTCCTCACACAATGGTATATTCTGACGTGACTTTGATCGAGACCGAGCCAGCGTCAAGCTGCAAAGTTCTGAGGTGGGAATCTGTCATGAAGGTGGTTGTGTCCTGCATAAACTTCATCAGAGCAAACGGACTTAAACACAGGCAGTTCCAAGCCTTTCTCTCCGAGCTAGAATCAGCCCACGGAGACGTGCTTTACCACACTGAAGTCCGCTGGTTAAGCCGGGGCAGAGTTTTGAAGCGTTTTTACGACCTGCTACCCGAAATCAATGCCTTTCTCCTGACAAAGGGAAAAACTGTCCCAGAGCTGATCGACACAGAATGGAAATGGGACCTCGCCTTTATTAACAGATGTGTCAGATATTTTAAACGGCCTCAACTTGCAGCTCCAAGGCAAGGGAAAACTAATCTGACATGTATTCCCACATCAAAGTATTTGAGCTTAAACTAGCGCTGCTTATTGGACAGGTGCAAAAACAAGACTTCACCCATCTCCCTGCTACTCGAAGCCTCTCAGCTGAGAAACCGGTTGCAGCTCCAAGGCAAGTGAAAACTAATCTGACATGTATTCCCACATCAAAGTATTTGAGCTTAAACTAGCGCTGCTTATTGGACAGGTGCAAAAACAAGACTTCA